TCCAAGCTCAGTGATCCTGTGGAATGCAGGCCATGCCCTGGGGGCTGGCACAGAGCCCCCCCAGCACCCATTGTTCGGGAGCTGAAGCAATCAGAGCTGGAGCCTGGCAGGCCCTGCTGCAGGGGCTGTCCCAGGAGGGCCATTTAGCACCAGGGCTGGACTCGCTGTCATCGTCCTGGGGATGCCTCCAAACACGGCCAAGCGGCGCCACACGAGGTCACTGAGGTCGGGAGGGCACGGAGCCAGCCTGGGCATGGGATTTGTGAATGAGAGTGGTACAAGCAGTGCCAGAGGGAGAGACTGTGCCCTTGGAGAGGGGCTCCCTGAGCCCTGCCCTTGGGAGTGGCCGTTCCCTCACAGTCTGGCGCCAGCAGGGAGCAAGGGCGTCCCACGGGCAGGGGACTGCTGCTGTCTGACACTGAAGTGGCACCACAGCATGGCTTCTTTCCCAGCCTCATTCCAAGAAGGTCCAGTACATCCACTCCTTCCCCATCTTGTGCCTATCAGATGCTTGTCCTTGATTTACTCGCTGCTGGAGCAAGGGCTGTTCTGTGTGGGGAGTTCTCGGAGCTGCTCTCTCTGCATGGAGCATCCTCAGCTGCGTTCTGGCTGCAGCAAACCATGCCACAGTGGGGACATTCCCCAAAGAGGGTCCCTCACTCCTGCCTGGCTGGGAGCTGGGAGGCAGCAGGGCTTGCTGGGACTGTCCCCACATGACAAACATGTATGATTGTGATGCTGCTCATTCCGGCTCAGCACAAGTAACGCTCCCACAAAGGGTAAAGCGTCCTCCAGCTTCCAGAGGGAGGGTGAGGTGGATTTGGGGTGTCTTCCTAGCTGGTTATCCCCACCGAGGGTCTGCCTTATATTAGGCAGACAGCTGAACAGTGACAGGTAATGATGGAAACTCTCCAAATCCCCCAGGGAAGCCTGAGCACCACCTCCTCGGGAGGAACCTGCCTCTCCCACCTGAGGAGCCCAGGACTTGGGCACCAGCCTGTCCGTGTCTGCAGTAAAAAAAAAATCCATAAACCACACTGCCCTTGGAATACCAGCAAAAAACATCTATAAACTGTATTTCCCTTGAAATACCAGCAGCAGTAGTAGAAGGAGAGAAGCCAGAAGGTGGCTGAGCAAGCCCTTTCTCTCCTGAAGGGCTGTGTGTGAGCCACTGGCTTGGTGATGCAGGAGCAGGGAGTGGGAGGAGCAGAGAATGTTTTCCCAGGCAGGGGAAACTCCCAGGTGGAAATAGTGCTGTGCCCTGGAAACAGAGCCCTTGGCAAACAGGGCAGGACTGGTGCAGCCTCACCTCATTAGGTGATGCTGAGCTGGGCACAGGCTCTTTTTAGACCAGAAAAGACAGGACGTTGATGACCTGGCTGCAGTGCTCTCCCTGAGATAGGAAGTGACAGGACAGGGGGGAACAGATTTAAGCTGAAAGGAGTGGAATTTTACACTGGATATTGGGAAGAAATTCTTCCCTGTGAGGGTGGGGAGGCCCTGGCACAGGTTGCCCAGAGAAGCTGAGGCTGCCCCATCCCTGGAACAAGGCCAGGTTGGATGGGGCTTGGAGCAACCTGGTCTAGTGGAAGGTGTCTGGGGGTTGGACCAGATGATGTTTAAAAGACCCTTCCAATCCAAACCATGCTGTGATTCCAAGAACCCTGGTCTGATCCTGTGTGTACAGGGCAGGCACAGACAGTCCTGGGGAATAAAACCCCCCAGAGAACATCAGACCTGCAGGAACAGCACTCCCAGCTATTCCAGTGTCTCCTCCCGGCCTGGCTGTGGACACACTGGAGGAGCAGGAAGGGGCAGGGTGGAAAAGCCAGAGGGAAGTGGCCCCTGGGCTGTGTCTGTGGAGCCACAGGTGTCTGTGCCACGGTTCAGAGGAGCTCAGCCTCCAGCCTGGGCTACAGTTCTTATATCACTCCTGGTGATGCTGAACATTTGTTCGTTCCGGCTGTAAAAGCTCTCCTGGCTCCTCACCAGGTATCTCCCCACCTCAGTGCCTCAGCTGGAGCAGAGCTGGTGGAGCGTGTGGAGCTCAGGCACGATGGCCTTCAGGAGCAATGTGCTCTTTGTCACCACCGAGGTGACAGCCCCTCTGTGGGTTCCCCCTTCCTGGGGGGCTCGCTGACCTCACAGGTCAGGATGACATCAGGGAGAAGGATAAAGCTTCCAGTGACCTTCCCTCTGCCTGCAGGATCCATCCCATCCAGGGCCGTCCCGAGGGAGCTGGACAATCAGCTCCAGCACCACTCCAGTGACCTGAAGGAGCTGGTTGGTTTTGGGACAGAACTTATGGAAAGCTCCAGGAATAAGGAACACTCAAACCAGTTGCCACAGCCGGGTTGGTGCCTGAAGGTGAAGATGGATTCATGGATGGAGAAGGAGACTCTGAGCAGGCTCTGCCTGCAGCTCTGTGTACAACGTGGCTTCAGGTTCAGTTATGGAATCTTTTGGGTTGGAAAAGCCCTCTGGGATCATGGAGTCCAGCTGTTCCCCCAGCACTGCCAAGGCCAGCACTAACACATGTCCCCAGGTGTCACATTCATGTGTTTTTTGAACACCTCCAGTGGTGGTGACTCCACCCCTGCCCTGGGCAGCTGTGCCAGGGCTGGACAATTCTTCTGTGAAAAAATGTCCCCAGTATCCAACCTGCCCCATTTCTTGGCACAGCTGGAGGCCGTTCCCTCTCCTCCTGTCCCTGTTCCCTGGGAGCAGAGCCTGAACCCCTCCGTCCAGACTCCCCCCTCCTGTCAGGGAGTTGCAGAGCCAGAAGGTCCCCCCTGAGCCTCCTTTTCTCCAGGCTGAGCCCCCCCAGTCGCTCTGTTTATTTTCCACTCCAAGTGAGCTGGTGGTCCCTCAGGGTTTAACCACCCCCAACCCCCCCTAACAGGGATTTAGGAATATAAAGAAAGGAAGTCCCTGGAAACTGTTTTTGCTGCCTGGTCTGATCTCTCTGTCTCAGTGCCCCAGGAATGGAATTGCTGGGGCTCTTTGTGGGGCTGAGGGTGTGTGGGCAGCGAGGGGACTCCGGGGGCTGCTCTCGGGGGAACAGAACCATGCCCGTGGCCGCTGCTGGAGCTCTCAGAGCCCTTCTCTGCCGGGCCCTGCCTGTACGGGGCTCATCGACACGGGGATGGGGACGGGACTGGCCCCGGCAGGGCAGGGAGCCCGAGGCTCTGGGGCTGGAGTGAGGGCGAGGTTCGGGATGAGGATGGATCGGGGATGAGGATGAAGGTGAGGGTTGGGGTGAGGGTTAGGGAGAGGGTGAGGTTCGGGGTGAGGATGCAGATGACTGTGAGGAGGACGGTGAGGACGGTGAGGATGAGGATGGAGAGGGTGACGGGGGTGTCCCCGCTGCGAGCAGCGCTGCCCGCGGAGCTGTCCTTCAGCACCACGGCACCTGCCGGGCCGTGCGGGGCCGTGCCTGGGGAGCGGGGCCGGGGCCACGTCCCTGTCAGTTCCCCTGTCCGTGTCCGTTCCCGGATCCGTGTCTGTGTCCGTGCCCATGCCCCGGGCCTTGTCTGTGTCCATGCCCGTGTTCCTGCCCATGTCCATATTCCTCCCCATGTCCATTCCTGTGTGCGTTCCCGTGTTTGTGTCCATTCCCATTCCCGTGTCCATTCCCATTCCCATGTCCATTCCCGTTCCCATTCCCGTGTCCATTCCCATTCCCATTCCCATTCCAATGCCCATTCCCATGCCCATTGCTGTGTCCATTCCTGTTCCTGCTCCCATGCCCATTCCCGTGTCCATTCCCCTTCCCATTCCCATTCCAATGCCCATTCCCATTCCCACTCCCACTTCCATGCCCATGCCCATGCCCATTCCCATTCCCATTCTCATTCCCACTCCCACTCCCATGCCCATGCCCATGCCCATTCCCATTCCCATTCCCATTCCCACTCCCACTCCCATTCCCATGCCCATGCCCATTCCCGTTCCCATTCCCATTCCCATTCCCATTCCCATTCCCATTCCCATTCCCGTTCCCATTCCCATTCCCATTCCCATTCCCATTCCCATTCCCATTCCCATTCCCATTCCCATTCCCATTCCCATTCCCATTCCCACTCCCACTCCCATTCCCATTCCCATTCCCGTTCCCATTCCCACTCCCATTCCCATTCCCATTCCCATTCCCGCTCCCGTGCCGGTGCCGGTGCCGGTGGAGCGGGGCCAGCGCGCAGGCGCAGCGCTCGCGGCTCCTCAAGGTGTTGGCGGCGCGGCCGAAGATGG